TCCCATGTGGCCCTGCAGCCCCTCCCTCTTTCCATACCTCAGTTTCCCTGAGGGATTGATGTCCTGCCTGGGTGTCCTCATGTGGTGCTGCTGCCACCCTTTCCCTGGACCTGCAGGTGTCTGTGCTGCAACCTATCTGTCCCCACAAAGGCGCCCAGCTCTGCAGCCCTCAGTGCCTGAGGGTGGCAGCTCCCACCAGAGCTAGCCGGGAAGCCCTGTGCTGGGAATCGCTGTGGGACAAGAGTGGCCCCACTAGCTTGGCAGTAGGGGGCCTGTTCCTGTGGGCTGCAAGTAGACAGAGACCCCATCCCCAACCCACCATGTCACCAAGAGAGGAAGTTCTGCTCCTTTTCCAAAACTCACCCCACCCTCTTCCTGGACTTAGGAGTCTCAGAGGATGGCCCAGCACACAGAGAGGCCGAGGGTGCATGGCAAGGGCATAGGCAGGGACCTCTCTGTCCCCATGGCGTGGGGACCCTCACACATCTGGGAAGCAGAGGGGCTGGGGAGGAGAGCTGGTGCACTGGGGTGGGGCAGCAGAGCCTCTGGGTCAGGGCTGGTGCTGAGAACCCCAGCTCCAGTGCTGCTCCCACTGCAGTGCCGAGGAGGGGCACCAGGCACAGCCACCCATGCAGGGTGGGCCACAGCGTCAGGCAGCATCCACCCAAGGGTCACCTACTGGGCATCAAGGCCTGGGGGTAGGAGGAGGAGGAGGGAGTCACCTGCCTTCAGCAGTTGTAAGCTGTCAGTGTGGTGCAGGGAGTAACTTTAAACACCCTTAAAATCCATCGTTCTTAAAATGCATCTAAGGCCCTGTAGAAGTGCCCCGCGCATGCTTGGCTTGTTGGGGTGACAGCTACTTGTCTTTCTGTCCCTGCTCATGGGGATGCTGTGACTGCGGCTGTGGGGTGCTGTCCCCCACCCCACAGCACACGAAGGTGCAGTCATGTGGGCCGTGTGCAGGTGTCAGCACACTCCTGCACACTTATCCCTTTGACCTCTGCACTTAGGGCCACAGGAGCCGCCTGCTCTGGGCAGGGCCCGGGGAACATCTCACCCCACCTCTATGGAACTGCAATACCTGCCAAGCACCCCACCCCAAATTCTTGGAACCCCAAGTATTTCATTTTTTATTTGCTTTATTTGGTTTGTTTCACTTGCATGTTTGATCTTGCAATAGGGCCTGAGCTTGGGCTCGGCCTGTCTCTGACCAGTCCTCCTCAACGCTGTGCCAGGCTTCTCATCACCCCGGGATGTCCTGAGTTCTGAGTGTCTAATATTCCAGGTGTCAGCCAGCAAGATGGTGCTGTGCCTGGGGGTCGGGCTGTGGGGTGATGAACAGCAGGTTTAGGTGCCTGTGAAGGCAGCTTCCAAGCCTCCCTGTGCCTGGGCCTGGGAGCAGCAGGCACATGGCATCTCCTGTGCACGCCGCACATCCTGCCCCCACCTCATCCCGCTCATCCTGAGAGGGGCCCTGTCAGGTGCCCCCTGGGCTGACAGCAGAGCGGCACGAGGGGCTGGGCTTGGGCAGGCGCAGCCAGGCTGGTGCTGGTGTGCATTCCTTGCATGCCGGCTGCAGTGCGACCCAGGCTTGGGCACTGCTCCCTGGCCCCTGGCTGACCCTGCCCAGGCTGGGTGTGGTTTGTCCTGGGCTGCGGCTGCTGCTCAGGCAGCCAGGCCACCAGTCCTTCCCACAGACCAATTTGCCTGGAGCCACGGGGCAGGCACAAGGCTTCCCGCTAGCTCCCAGCAGCCCCCAGACCCAGAGGGTGGGGTCTGCCCCCACCCCAGCCCCTTGTGGTGCTGCAAAGCTGTGCTGCAGGGCCCGCCTGCCTCCCAGGAAGGACAGAGGCTGTGCCAAGCTGCTAGTAAGGACAGAAGACAAGCAGGACGGAAGAGAGGCAGGTGGCGTGTCATGTTCTCAAGGAGAAAGAGCCCTTCCTGCCAGCCTCCCCTTTCTGTCAAAGGCAGGTGACTGGCGCAGCAGAGCATCCCCTCCTCTAGACTCACAGCCCGGGGAGGCACCAGCCGGCTCAGCTGTGACAGCTGTGTGCAGAGCAGGACAGTTGGGCAGAGGACACTCGGGAGTGTCCGCGGGTCCCTGTAGGTCAGGCAGGAGCCTGTGGCCAGAGCAGCCCAGGGCTCCTCTATAGGGCAGGATGGAACTCTGTCCAGGCTGGCATATGGCTCCCCGTACTCCTGCCCACCTGGGCAGCTCGACCTCCTATAAATGTCTCCACAGTGCTGTCCCTTCCGAAGGATGTTTACCGAGGGGCTGGTGTGGGGCACAAGGTCTGAGCTTCTGCGGCAGCGCAGAGACAGCTCCAGCTTTCCAGGCCTCAGTGGGCCAGGACCTGAGCCAGACATACAGCTGCGGGGCCCTGTGCTGCCCTCATGACCCAGGGCAAGGCGAGCTGAGGGCCCCAGGGCTCCGACCTGCTGCCTCCTGGCAAAGCTTCCTGCACTCTGCCACCCAGACTGCTTCCACCTGCTTGTCAGCCTTCCTAGGGCAGCGGCGCTCTGGCCTCATGCTTCCTCCTGGCTTAGACAGGCCTGACTTCCCGCCCAACTGGAGCCCCTGCTGCTGAGGGCAAGGGGTCCAGGGTACTGTGCGGGGGGTTAGGGGGGGAGCAGGAGGCAGGGTGGGGTCACTTCCCCCAAGTCACACAGTGCTGTGCTGTCACGGTGCAGTGCACACTCCGCACACGGATCACTGCACAGTGCACATGGACGGCAAACGGTACACACAGCCACGTGGGGTACACTGCTCACCGCTGCCACTGCCCCAGCTCTCCAGGGATGCCTTGGCCTGCAGGACACCCCTGACCTGTCCACCCAGCCTCCTTCATCGGTCTGAGGAGCCTGCGGATGCAGAGCTGAAAGCTGGTCCCTGGGGAGGGACGGTGGGGGGGGTGAGATATGAGAGCCCCAATAAGGGCCATACTCCCTGAGCAGGGTGGGCAGGAAGGCCTGAGATCACCTCACCAGCCACTCAGCAGGACACAGGCACGCTCATTGCAGGAACAAACCCTGCATGCTCACAACAGCAGCCTGCAAGGTGCACAGGGCACCCCACATGCATCCCACAGCTCTCAGCCATGGGACCAGCCATGCAGCTCGCTCTCCTGTGGGCAGGTACAGGGCTGCCCAGGGCCACCCTTCTCTTTAATCAGTGTTCGAAGGGCCACATGACTTCTCAGCATGCCATGGCTCAGCCTCAGGCCCTTAGGGCTGGCCAAGAGCAGCCCCACTGGCTCTCACTCCATTCACCTCGCAGTCTGGGCCTCACTCTGGCTCAGAGCCCAGGGCAGTCCTCTGCCCAGCCCTCTCCACCCTCAAGGAAGGACAGGACCACCAGCCCAAGGTGGCCAGCATGCCAATGTCATACAAATGCCTGTCTCTTGGGTGCCTCAGCCTCTGACGGGCAGCTCACAGGAAGGAGGTAGCACCGAGGTGGTCGAGCTCTGAGAGCGGGACCTGTGCCTGTCACCTGGCAGCACAGCAGGATTCTGTTCATCCCTGAAAACTCAGAGTGCACAGCTGAACCCAGGTGGGATGCTGGGACCAGTGACGGGCGTCCCTCCTCCCTACCCAAAGTTGGGGCCAGGGCTCCCCTTGGCTCCTAGAGGAGCCAGGCTGGCCGCCCTGGTTCCGGGGGGGCCCCATGCCTGCCCACACCCCACGGCAGCCGCAGGCCTCCAGCGGTGAGGGCTTCTTCCAAGTTATAGATTTCTGGAGCCACACTCACTTTCTGACCTGAGCCTCAGGCTGCCCAGAGCCCCGGCGGCCCACAGAGGACGGCTGTCCACCGTTTGGTTCTGATTTGTACTTCTCAATGGATTAAACATTTCAAAACCTCAGGCACAGACACTGGCTTCTGGACGTGAGCTGTTCCTTCTGAGTCTGTTGATTCAGTGAACCATAAAGATCAGATTTTTAAAAATTCTTTTTCATCTTTTTTGTACCAGGAATCAAACTAGAGACCCTGCACTTGCCAGGCAGGTGCTGTGCCACTGAGCTAAATCCTAGGTTGAGTTTTTAAAGTGCCAGAACAACCCAACCTTGCAACCCTGGGACAAACCACAGCTGTGGATGCCGTATTACCTTGCCATGTATACTGTGGAGTCTGAGTTGCTTTTTTAAAAAGCCAGGGGCTCTAGGATGGCTCAATGGTGGAGCGTTTTCTGGGACCCTGAAGCCCTAGTTCATTCCAGCACCGCAGGAGGCAGAACTGGCCCCCGACCGCTCTCGACTGTGATTTGGGCTTCGTGCCCCCTCTACAGCTTTCTCCAGGGGGCTGGGCAGAGCCAGTGTAACTCTGCCCTGAGTGCTGGGTAGAATTCACCTCGGAGGCCCTCTGGACCAGACTATTCATTTAAAACGTGCTTTTAATAAACATTCACAGCTTTTTGTTGACACAGACTCAGGTGCCCTGGCTGCTTCCTCTCATGCACAGCAAAGCTCCTATCTCAGCATTTGGTCCAAATGACCCACTTTCCTGCAAGGTGCTGCTCCGAGTCCTTAGGGTGCTTTTATTACCTGTAGGGCCTCGCCACTCTCAGCATCTGCAGACAGCTACTATCACCCTAGACATTGTCAGTTGGTCCCTTCTCTCAGCTCTTCCTCCTCATCTGACAGCTGGCTTTGAGTTTTGCAGGTCTGAATGGTTCACTTGGGTGGTGCATCTATCAGACTGAGAAATGCCTAGGAAATGACACACAGCTGGCTCTGGGCGGGCGTGTCTGCAGTCTCCAGAGATGGCTGATCAGGAGGGCTCTGACGTCACTGGTGGTGGAAGGGGAGGCGATGGAACAGGCTGTAGAGCCCACACCCCAGGGTGTGGCCAAGGAACCGCTGGGCCCTGGCTCCTCCCTTCTCTCTGCTTTGTCCTCTGGGACCAGTCTTGGAGCTGAGCAGAGCTGTCCTCTCCTGGAGCCTGTGGACAGGTGACTAATATATAGGTTGGATTGCTTTTCATGTTTTTATTTTCTTATTTTCTTCTCTGGATTTTATTTCCTTTCTGTGTTTTTAATTTTTTTTATTTTTATTTTTGTCTTTTTGAGACAGTTTCATTACAGTTCAGGCTGGTCTTGAACTCACTTCATAACCCAGACTGGCCTCAAACTGACAGCAATACTCCTGCCTCAGCCTCCTGAGTGCTGGGATTATAGGCATATATCACCACGCCTGGCCCTCTGCTGGTTTTTATTTTTAAATTTTACTTTTAATTTTCTGTCTTCTTTACTTTATTTTATTGATTTTCTACTTATTCTACCAGATTTTAATTTTTTTCTTTGTCATCTTTTAGACAAATTCTATTTAGGTTCACAGATATTTAAGTTCACTAATCTTATCTATAACAGCCCACCCTTAAGCTTGTCCAGCTATGTCCACTTGGGGCCTCAGGCCTTGTCTCCTGGGCTCCTGGGTGCCCCAGCGGGCACAGAGGGCTGCTGTGCCATCCACCTCTGCCTTGGGTCAGCGATGCTGGCTGCCCGGACACTGCCCCGCTGTGGGCCGTTTCTCTGTGTCCCTGCGTGTCCAGTATTCTCTGAGTGGATGCCAGGTACTGCAAATTTCACCTTGTGGGCTGCTGGATACATCTGTATTCTCACAAATCTCCAGTTCAGCTGGAAATGCATTTTAGCTGCCTGAGTCTAGTTACTTCTGGGACTGGTGAGCAGGGTGGACAGTGCTGCCCTCTCCCTGTACGCCGTATGTGCCCCTGCCAGGGACAGGGCCACCACGGACCCATGGTGAGCGCACTGCTGTTTGGACTCCGTGGCCCTCCTGTGGCTGCCCCTCTTTCCTCTGGGCATCTCTGGGCACTATGCCTGGCACGGCTGCATCCTGGGCACTGCAGGTGTCACCAGGCCACAGCCGCCTCCTCCCAACCGTTCACTCCTGATGCCTGGGCTCTGCAAACCAGTGCCCTGTGTTTATTCTTGTTTTACTTTTTAATTATTTCAGGTGGGAAACAATCTAGCTTCCTCTTCATACATCTTGGATTATTTTTTAAAATCAAAGTAACAACTATTTCCTTTTTAAAAGCACACAGAGACAGCAGCACTGAGTCTGCCCCGGCCCTCTTCTCAGCACCTTCGCCTCTCGGCAGAGCAGTCTCTGGCCCTGAATTCTAGTTTGCAGATTCTCTCTTCATCCGGGTCTAAACTGTGGTTAAAACCATTCAGTGAGCTCTGAGTTTGGAATTTTGTGTTTTTCATTTCTAGAAGTTCCATGATGGCTCTTTGAAAAATCTCTCCTGTCAAATTTATAGTTTCCAGTTGTTGCAAAGAATTTACAAGCCTAGCTAGATCCCCCTGAGCATAATAAGCACATTCATTTTATGGTTTCTGGCTGATAATTTGCTCTCTGGATTTCTTCACATCTCTTTTTCCATGGTATATCACTCATGTTTCTGATTTTTTTGCTTATGTTCTAAAGAGGTATTTGATTTTATTGAAATCACTATCTCAGGCTAAGGGTTATGCTGTCATTGTGCCCACAGGGCTCTGATTTGTAATTTTTGTTTGTTTTTTGAGTATTGGGGATTAAACTCAGACTCTCACGCATGCCAGGCAGGCACTGGGCCACACAGCTATGTCCCCAGCCTTCCAATTTGCTTTGCCAGTGACTGGGGTACCTGAGCCGCTGGGGTCACACTGTGCAGACACTTGCAAGTGCCAGGTTGGAGCTGCCCAGTGACTCAAGGCCAGGCTGAGGTCCACCAAGGCTGCCCCACTTCTGACTCAGCCTCCCCCGTGCTTTCCTCTGTGTCCAGCCAAACGCAGGTGTGGCCGACTATGGGTCACACCCTCGTGGGGCCTGGCTCCCTGCTTTGCTTCCCTGGTTCCAGAGGCCCAGTGCTCCCTTCCTGCAAGGCAGAACCGGCCCTCTCCGGCCACCTCACTCTGGGTTATCACTGCCCCTGGGGGCCCTCCTCTGAGGGTGTTCCTGCCCACCAGAGTGTCCACCCCACAGGGCCACTGCACTTCATGCCCCTGGATCATTTCCATTTGTTTCTGTGGGCTCCCCCTCTGCTTCTGCATGCAGATCACCCACGGTGTCAGGGCCTCCTGTCCATGTCTGCGGGGGACTGAGGCTCTGTGTACCACCTTCTCATTCCAGATTTTATTCCTCAGTAGAGGCAGTGCTTGTTTCTCTGAATCCACAGGTTGAAATCCCAGCTGCCAGTGTCAGGGTGTCCAGGTGAGGCCCAGGGGTGAGGTCCAAGAGTTCTTGCACCCTCTTCCAGTTTTCACCCCAGGAGGGGCCTCTTGAGGATCAGCCATGCTGACCCTACCCCAGGCATGAGCCTCCAGACCAGAAGAGCAAGACTGTGTTATTTGGGAATGGGGAACCACTCCAATAAATCTCCTAGGTTCTCCTTGGAAAGAAAGAAAAGCAACTCTCTCCACTTTGGATAAATCTGGCCCTATCTCCATGTACTGATGATATGCACAGAGCTGGCCAGGCTGTTTCTTTGTCCCTTCAATTGGCTTTAAGCAGTGTAAACTTGCCTGGGACCCAGCATAGGATTTTGCGTGGGAGCTGAAGCACCAGCCCCAGATTAATAGCTACTGCCTCAGCTGTGTTATGCAGATTGCTCTCCTGCATTTCTTGCCCTCTGCATAATGCAGAGGTGACCTCAGACCTCCTACCTAGCCCAGCTCATCATGGTAGTCATAGCTGTCACATATTTCCAGTCACTCATCCCTGAGCCACTCCCCTCATGGAGAATTAATAAAACCCAGGTTGGGCTCTGGGTTGAGGCCTTTATTCTGGTGAACATCATCTTGGCTAGACTTAGGACCCCTGGATCTCCACAACTGTACATATGTCTCAGTGTCTGAGGGTTGCACTGGAAGTGGTAGATTGGAATTCATTCACTGGAATTCCAGTAGCTTCTTCATGGGATTACAAATATCAACCTTTCCGGACCACCTCGAGCACATGAAAAGGTTCTCTATATTCAGGTCCTCAGCCCAGGCTGTGACAAGGCTGTCCAGGACCTGTCAACTTTTTTGCAGACTGGGTCCCACTGCTGTGTAAACACTACAGCATCATCGGAAACCTCTTTCCAGGGATACATCTGCCTGACTCCTCCTGGGCCTGTACTTTTCCATGTGAATTACAAGCTTTAAGCAAGTTTTTTGGACAACATTTCAGATGTGTGTTAGGGCCGCGGTGGAGGAGCCAGGCTCTGCAGACTGGAGACCATCGGTTCCACACCGTCTCCCCGTTCTCCTGACATCGATATCCAGGTTTTGTAATTTTCTCATCTTTCATTACCTAAACCCATGCCTCCTGGGTCTTATCACAAGGAGACATGCCCGTGTCAAAACCTGCATGGAGAAGTGTGATTTCCTGGGTGCCGATGAAGCCAGCACCAGCAGGTTTCTTGGCATCCAAGGCTCAGCACAGGCCAGGAGTGAGGCGCCGCCCACCGCGCTGAGCCTGAGGGGGGCGCTGTGCACGCTGGGCCTGGCTGCAGCGTGGGGCTAATGGCTGCGCCCGAGAGAACCCGCGGTGCTCTCCCAGGGCTGCTGCTGCTGCTGCTGCTGCCGCCGCCGGTCCTCTCGCACCCCACAGACCCCGCGCCTGCCTGTGGCCAGCGCGCCCCCCACGGCAGGGTGCTGGGCGGCACGCCTGCGGCTCCGGGGAGGTGGCCGTGGCAGGTGAGCGTGCACTACGCGGGCCTGCACGTGTGTGGCGGCTCGGTGCTCGACGCCTACTGGGTGCTGTCGGCTGCGCACTGCTTCGGCCGGTGAGCGAGGGTGGCCTGTGGCAGGGTCCCCTCCCCCATTCTTCCCCTCCCTCCCCCTGCTTTCCCCTCTCCCACCCACTTCCTTCCTCTCCCGCTCCGCCCCCCCCACGTACCCCCTTTGCTCCAGTGAGCGCCCCAGACACTGCTCAGCGAGCCATCCGAGAGGTAGCCAGCAGCAGCAGTAGGTCTTCCCTCCCCCACGCAGATACAGGAGTATCGCTACCTTCGACCTGTACGTGGGCCTCACCAACCTGCGGGCTGCCGGTGCGCACACACAGTGGTTCGCCGTGAGCCGCTTGATCCTGCACCCCACCTACCAGATGTGGCACCCCGTGGGCGGGGACGTGGCACTGGTGCAGCTGCAGTCGCGCATCGAATTCTCAGACGCAGTGGGGCCCGTGTGCCTGCCGCCACCCACCCTGCAGCTAGACAACAGCTCTGCCTGCTGGGTCACGGGATGGGGGCTCGTGTCTCAGCAGGGTGAGCATGGGTGGGGCACGTGGTCCCTGGGGTGCTGCGGCTGCAGATGGGGGGGAGGGTTTGGCCTGAGGCTGCTGGTGCTGCTGGGAACAGCGGCGTGTCAGCAACCTGGCCCCAGCGCAGGCTTGCCGCTGGTGGGGTGGGAGTGGGGGTAGAGGGGTGCGGGGAACCTTCACACTGGCCGTGCCAGTGGGGAGCAGGAGGTGCTGGGCAGTGGGGGAGGAGCCTCAGCGTGGGTGGGACCTGCACTGGACTGGCTGGTGGGGACTGTGGGTGAAGCCCTGGGTTGCCCTACCACCTGTCTACATGCAGCCTGACTTCCCTCTCCCATAGGCGACTTCTCGAGCCAGCTGCAGGAGGCCCAGCTGCCCCTGATCCCGATGACCCTGTGCAGGATGCTCTATTCACCTTCGGCCATCCAGCCTGACATGCTGTGCGCTGGGGACCTAAAGACGGCATGTGAGGTGTGTTCCCGCGGAGATGGCACGGAGTCCTTAGACTTGTGGGACCATAGGAAGGGGGCGCTGCTCCCCCTGACCTCAGCAGACCACTTCTTTTTCAGGGTGACTCTGGGGGTCCACTGGTGTGTGAGCTCAACCACACGTGGGTGCAGGTTGGAATTGTGAGCTGGGGTCAGGGGTGCACCCAGCAACTGTACCCTGCCGTGTTTGCCAGAGTCTCCTATTTCTCCCATTGGATCCGCTATCACATGGAGAAAACACCCCTTCCTCCCCAGCCCACCCCTGCGCTGTCCCCTGCCCGAAGGGCCACCCTCAGTGTGCTCGTGACAGCGCTGGCCAGCCTGGCTGTGTCCTGATGACCAGCCCCCACACTGTCCCATCCATGGCCAGGCTGGTCAAGGCTGGCCCAACTGTGGGCTGCAGGGGGCTGGGGGGGTGTGGAGGAGAGGTAATTGGAAGGCCCCAGAGGAGAAGATAGTAAACATTTGTAAAGCAGCATCTCGACTCCTGTCCTGGTCTTTTGCCCAGAGCCACTTCAGCCCTCCCGCTCACAGAGCAAGGCCCAGGTCCTTCTACCCATCCTCCTGCTCACCGGGGAGCCTCACGGGGACCCCCATGTAAATCTGGGGTGCAACCAGAGCTGAGGCAAGAGCAGAAGTCCCTAGGGAGGTCTTTAAGCTGTAAGCAGAAAAATGCTGAACAATTCAGATATGCAGCTTGAAAGCAGAAAGCTTGGGGTGAGAGTGGGTGCAGGGTGTGACTGAGACCCCCACAGAGGGAGCAGCAAACAGAGACAGGCAAGCAGGCCAGGTACATCCCAGATGCTGAAGGAGCGCGGGTGCTGAGGAGTAGCGGCCAGCGTGGTGTCCGTGCTGCGTCTTTTAGCGGTATAGCGTGACGACCATGTCCACAGCACGGGTGTAGTGCTGGGTGTCGTGGTGCCTTGAGGGCACAATGGGCTCCATGTAGATCTGACTCCAGTCATGCACGGGGCCAGGATCCCCAGACCTGGAGCTGGGGCCTACTGGTGACACCTGTACTTTCCAGTGCTGCTCTAAATCAGGATAAAGAGGAACCTCACCATGAGAGGTAGGAGCAGAAATACACAAAACAAGGACCAATCAGGAGGAAAAACCACCGAGACAGAAAATGTAAGAAAGCATGAGAGACAGACAATTCTACGCAAGTAAATTTTAATGAAAGGAAGTAATGTTACCGAAGCTATCTTCAGCTGAGATAGAAAGTTTAAACAAACCAAATTCCATCAAATAAAAATAGTGAAGTGGAATAGGGGCCTTTCCTCCCAGTGAAAGCCCTTACTGGGCCAGTGCCTTGGAAATTACCCTGACCCAACAGTGGGACCTGCTGGGCTCACTGTAGGGGCAGAGAAGGGCGGTCCCCATCCTCCTGGCAGGCATGTGTGGCTGCAGCGATGTGACCTTACCTGGTGCAGGCTTGTACAGGCCAGCTTACAGGCATAAGTTTACAAATCCAATGAAGGTTAACAAGTGGGGCCCCACGTTATTTTCTAGAACAGTGCTTTATCATCAGGTTAAGGTCTGCTGTGGTCATTTGAGATTGACTAAATCCTAGGAAACTTGTGGATATAGTTCATCATTTTAATTGCTAAAGGAACGAATATTAATGAAAAGGCATTCGATAAACTCAAAAACTCATTTTCAGTTACAAAATAAGATATATCAATGGTTTAAAACCAGGCTTGATGGTACATGCTTGTAATCCCAGGACTTAAAAGGCAGGAGGATCTCATGGAGTTTGAGGCCAGCCTGGGCTACGTGGTAAGTTCAAGACCAGCTTGAGCTACGTAGTGAAATCCTGCCTCAAAAAGCCAAATAACAACAAATGAAATAATCAAAGGGCCTCCCAAGATTGGCCTTTTGACTTTGTACATTGAGAACTGGATGCCTGAGACTTAAATTAAATTTATAAGGAGTATACTGGATGCTAGAAACCCAGGGAAATAATGCTAGTAACTTTGAACCTAAGTCCCTATCTGCATTTTTTAGTCATTTTCTTAATAGTGAATGAGCAAGGAATAAGGCAGGATGATCACAAATCCAAACCCAGCTCAGAGAACTTGTAAAAGCCTGTCTCAAAATTTTATGAGAGGTGTTGGGGTTGTGGAACTGACAGAGTTCACTACAGAGCCCTGGGTTCTGTCCCTAATACAGGGGGAGAGGGAGGGAGGGAGGCAAGAGCAGGAAAGGAAGGGAGACTGGAGGAGGAAATGAGATATTTTATCAGTAATTGTTCTCCATGTGAACTGATTAAACTCCCCATTTGAAAACCAGGATAGATGCAGATAGCCCAGAAAGCAAATAAACCCAAAAATCAATAAAACCCCATAGACTGTGATCTATCCCTCTACTATTTACAAGATTCCTTTTAATTCTAAGGTACAAATAGGTAGAAAATGAATGAAAAGAAGTACCATGCAAATAATACAAAAGAGAACCAAGGGGATCTGTACAGAAAAAGAAAAACTGGGGTTGTAAGTAGAAAAATCACAGCAGGAGACAAGGACCTTACGTGTTGAAGGAAGGGTGCGTACATGAGGAGGAGGCAGTAAGCACAAACTCAAAGGCACCTAACAGCCTTGAAGTCCATTAAACAAAATTTGGCAGAAATGAAGAATTCTGCAGAAATAGTTGAAGAAGACATCAATAATGTGCTCTCAATAATGGGTAGGAGGAGGACTGTAGAGAAATCTTTCCCATGAGTGCGCAAGTCCAAGTACTGGCACAGTGAACTCAGCAGAGTGTTGAGACAGCCTGTGCACCAGGACCATGCGGGGTTATTACAGAAGTCCGAGGGTGGCTCAAGGTGGAAACCAGTCAGAGGGACACTGTATCTTAATAATGCAAAAAGCATTCGACAAGAGCCCAGATCTTTCATGACAGAAGCACAATCAACCAGGAACGACAGGTCATGGTGCCCAGGACTCTGGGAGTCTGAGGCAGGCGGATCAAAATAGATAATAGGGCTGGAGATGTAGCCCAGTACAAAGGCACTGAGTTCAACCCCCAGTGCCTAAAGAAAAGCAATGCAAGGGACCATGCTGAAAATCATGGGCACAGGTGACATTCGGCAGCCCTGGGACTTTCAGTGGGGGCACACAGACACACAGAGCCCCAAGTCCTGCTGCCACAGCTCTGGACAAGCTAGCCTGGCCCTTGGGCAGGGAGAGGACTGGCAGCCAAGTGAGAGAAAGGGGCAATGTGACTCCTGTGCTCCTGCGGTGTGGTTCTGTGTGGAGAGCATTTGTAAAGAATCCACACACACACACGTGTGTGCGTGTGGGCACACACACTGTGTGAGCTCAGGTGCAGCTCTGAAGAGCCTCAGGATCAAAGCCACATCCAGACATCAGCCATGCAGCGTGCTGTGGTGCCTCGGCTCAAGGACAAACTTAGCTCGGACCCTAGTTCTAGAAAAGATGGCCATGTTTGTGTTCATTACCCAATGCAGAGTTTGAGAACAAAAACAAAATTCTGCTTCTACATGTGAACCGAATTGCTCACAAACAAGAGCATCTGTGAACTGAGGCACCACTGTATTTGTGGGCAGTGCCAGTGAGCCCTGGAGGGAGACGGGCCCATGCTTAGTGGCCAGGCCTGTCTGTGGCATGGGGACTGCAGGGTCAGGGCCACTGCAGTGAAGCCCAGCACGGGGCACACAGTTTCCAGACCCCATCTGCTGAGCCAAGGCTGCCCCCACCCTGTGCCTGGCTTCCATCGCGTCCTCCAGCAGGGCCTACTGTCCCTGAGGTGCCCTGAGCCTGGAGCTGGGCGGCATGACTGTCCCCAGCTCTGTCACTCTCCTCCTCTCTGGGCTCCCCTGGCGCTGGCCCAGGCTGTGTCCTGCTCAGCCTTGTGACCTCAGGAAGGCCAGTGCTCTGCTCTGGGATGTGAACGACAAGAGACAAGGGGAGGCTTGCCTGGATACCTCGTGTCCTCACAGCCCCTGCGGGAAGGACCCTGGCTGTCCCCCTGCTGGGGAAACTGCTGTGGTGTGGTGGCCGGGTCTGCTCCCAGAGCAGCCATTGAGGGTCCTTTCACAGCAGCCACAGCCCTGGACATCAGATAAGTATAGCTGAGAACAGGGCGGTAGTATGCAGCATGGACGTGGCGTGCTTGGCCTTTTGCAGTGTTCAGGCTGGCAGCCCATTCACCATGGCACAGGGGCCCAGGCCCAAGAGGCCATGTCAGGGTCAGGATGGGGCAATCACTCCTACCCACAGACTGGAAGGAGGGCAGGCTGTGCCTACTCATGGGGGTGGGTCCCAGAAGCAGGGCTGAGCTGCAGAGGAAACTGAGGTCCCTCGTCCCTCCAGAGCCCTGCAGAGCCTGCGCTCCCAGTCCAGTTTCAAGGCCACAGAGTTCCTCCCCACCACCCAGCGGCTCCATTGCAGGGCCAGGCACACCCTGACTCAGTGAGTGCAGTCTGCGGTTCTCCGTGCCCAGGAGTCCTCCCTCCCCCAGGCCCATCCTGCCCCTGGGCCCCTCTCTGGGTTGCAGGTCTGCCAAGCCAGCTGCTGCCTCCTAAGTGGGGCTCTTGGTTCTTTACAAGTCTCCCACTCCATTAAGCCGTCCCAAAGATCAGCACTTTCCAGAGCCTCAGGGCCACCTAGCATAGCCTTTGAGGTGGAGAGGAGGGCTTTGGGTTGGGAAGGAGCTTGGGGGGAGCCTTTGGGAGGGAGGTCCCCCAAGATGCCCAGAAGGATGGGGATCTTCAGCAGGTGGACAACAGTAACTGTGGTTAAGTCTAATGGAAACCCCACAGTTGCTAGGACCCTAAGCATTTCCAGGACACTGGCAGAGACACTGCTGTCGCTGTTCACAGTGAGAACATTTTTTCCAGTGAGGTCCATGTGACTGTCTCCTTCGGAGGCCTGAGGGATAGGGCTGAGGTGCTCCTGGCCCTCCCTGTACCCCTGTCAAGCACCCAGGTCCCTGCCCCCAGCCCCACTGCCCACACCAGGCCCCCTGGGCTGCATAGCCTTGCAGGGTGAGCACTGGCTGGGCCCAGCGGCCCTGCTCCAGGGCTAGGCCCTTTGCTGGGTGGCCAAGGGTGCAGAGGAGGCAGCTGGACCAGGTGCGCAGAGCACATACATGGGGCTGGGCCCCAACACTCCTGGCAAGACCTGATGGACCCCAGGGCAGTATCCCTCCCCCAACCTGCACAGCACCTTGAGGGGCTCTGTCTGCTCTGCGGCCGCCTGCTGGCCATGTTGTGTGGTGCTTGTGGGAGACTGCGTGTATTTTTCTTTTTTCCTCCTCTTCCTTTTTCATAAAATGCATCAGAGTGGAGGGCATACCTGACAGCCATCCATGTCCTTGAGAAACCACCTGAGTGGCTGGGCAGCAGCTCTACTGCCTGCAAGGCCATCGGGTTGCACTGTGTCCTCCCCATAGCACCCACCTGGCTGACTTCCCCTAGTGACAGCAGCCTCTGACAGCCCCCAAGGGGCCCACCAC